GTCCTCAAATCACTTCGCTGGTGGACTGCACCTGTCATCAACAAAGGTTGCCTATTCAAGGAACCCAACAGAGCGATCATCACGACAGACTCCAGCCTGTTTGGATCTGGAGCGCAGTACCAACATCACACAGCACAGGGGCGTTGGTCTGTCCTGGAACAATTGTGCAGTATAAATCTATTGGAACTCAGAGCTGTCTTTCTAGCTCTTTGCAGCTTCCTTCCACTAATTCAGTCCAAACACGTCCTGGTTCTAACAGACAATGTTACAAGGAAGGCTCATATAAAAAAATGGGGGTACCCACTCGGGTCAACTGATGAGGGAGGCAGAGAAGTTGTGCCTTTGGGTGAAGAGGAACTTATTCTCCATCAGGGCAGAGCACATCTCCAGTCTGTCAAACATCCAGGCAGACTGGCTGAGTAGGGCCACGCTCGATCGGTCGATTCTATTTCAAGAAGCAGCCTTGAAATTCAGACAACCGGTGATCGACTTATTCGCCTCAGCTCTCAACACACAACTCCCGAGATTCATATCGAGGTACCCAACCTGGGAAGCAGAGAATATCAATGCCCTTCAATGCCATTGGCCACCAGGTCTACTGTACTCATTTTCCCCCTACCACTGATCCCCAAAGTGATCCAAAAGCTTCTGGAGGAGAAAGCGGAGCTGTTACTAGTAGCTCCATACTGGCCCAGATGGCCATGGTTTGCAGACCTCCAAGATCTGTCATTAGTGGAACCATGGAGAATTCCACCGGACAGAGCCGCTATATCTCAAAGCCCAGTTCTACATCTGGATCCTCAATGGCTCCACCTTGCCATATGGAGATTGAATGGCAACGTCTAAAAGGTGAGAAAATTTCCAACAGAGTCATTTCCACCATTCTGGCAGCCTGGCACCCATCAACTAATCGTATTTACAATGCCACCTGGAAATATTTTGTAAATGGTGTATTAAGTTCAATATTGAACCCACTTCTCCCTCAGTGGCACAAATATTAGAATTCTTACAAGAAGGTCTAGACAGAGGTCTCTCGCCCAGCACCTTGAGAAGACAAATGGCAGCCTTAGCTTTGGTTATTTCTTGGGGTAATCTGCGTTCCATTTCACATCATCCTCACATTCGTAGTTTCATTTGGGGAGCCAAAAATCTACGGCCCCTGGTGATTCACTGCTATCCAACTTGGGAGCTTGACAAGGTCCTTTCTGCTCTCATGAAGGGACCCTTTGAGCCTCTGAGGGCGACGAGCCTTCACTTTCTAACATATAAGGTGTTTTTGATAGCTATCCCATTAGCAAGACAAATTTCTGAACTAGCCGCATTGTCAGTAAGAAAGGACCTCTGTATTTTTCTCCAGGACAGGGTAGTTCTCCGTCCAGATCCAACGTTCATGCCAAAGGTCAATTCAGCATTCCACAGGGGCACAAGCATTGATTCTCCCAAACTTTTGCCCAAGACCAACTCATAGACTTGAATACCAATGGCATCGGCTTGACATGAGACATGCCCTCTGCTTTTACTTAGATCGTACAGCTGCTTTCAGGAAAATGGAATCTCTTTTCATTTCTTTTCAACGTAACACCCAAGGGCACAAGGTTTCTCCTTCTACAATTGGCAGATGGTTGAGGGCTACTATTGCTAAAGTGTTTGAGGCTCAATCACTTTCAACGCCTAGAGGCATAACGGCACATTCCACAAGGAGTGCAGCAACATCGGCAGCATGGGCCACACAAGTGCCAATAGAAGAAATTTGCAGGGCAGCAACTTGGGCTTCTCCATCGCCCTTCATCAGACACTATAAAATTGACATCTTTGCCTCTGCAGAGGTATCATTTGGTAGGAGAGTGTTGCAAAGAGTCCACAGAAACCAAGAGGGACCATTGTTCCAGGCAGCATCCCTCCTGTAGGACAGGCCAAGCTTTGGTATGTCCCACTACTGGATGCTCTGAACAGCTCAGGGGAGAAAGGGCGTTGGTAATTCCCGGATATGCCCATTCTTCATGAGCTGTGAAGAGCATCCAGCCTCACACAATTCTGTCTGGTGGGGTTTCTATTCCGGCCAATTCTTAGTTAGGGTGAAGAACAGAAATGTGTCCACACTTCGACTTCGCCAAAACTGGGGATGCTAGGGAGGAGTACCGAGGAAGAGGAGGACCGTCCTTGTAATTAAGCCTAGCCTATCCAAGATGAGACTGAAGCACCTCCCACTACTGGATGCTCTTCATAGCTCATGGAGAATGGGCATATCAGGTAAGTACCAATGCCCTTTTCCACAATTGATAATCTTCTTGACCTAGAAACACACACACACACACCACAAAAAATAGCTTCGTGAGAGAGCCAGTCTCTCTTAGCCACATCAGAAATGACCATGGAGGTGCAGAAGCTACATAGAAGAAAGTGGTCCTCCAGCAAGCCAATTAGAGCCCAGGACATTGCCCATCTCCAAAGGATCCTCCTCCTTTGCATTACAAATGTATTTGTGGAAGATCCTAAGCTTTCTTTCAAGCTGGAACACCTTAGGCCAGCTTCATCCTAAGCAGGCTGCTTACGAGATGCAAGGGTTTGTTGTCCTCAGCAAACAGAAAGTAAAGTATCTTTCCACAATGGAAAGAATGCCTTATGGATACATTCTTTGTTGCCTTTAGCAATTTTTATTTACATTTCTTCTAGCATTATTAGCAATGGCCAAATCTATCTTAACTCTCATTTTTATCAGTATTTGAAGGAGGATAATTCATGAACCCTTGATATTTGAGAAGATGAGACTCTTAAAGATATCAAAATTAAGCAAGCCACCACAGAGAAGAGGAGGAGGAGAGGCATTCATAATAAGAGGGAGCAAAAAGACAACATGATGGGTATGATTGAAGATCCATTCATTTGTATGTATGTGAAACATTGTCCACATATAAAGGAATGAGACTTCATCATACAGTCTTCCCCCATCAGCATCCCCCCCCCTGAAAATGTTAGGTAAGATTTATTTATATGAATTGTATGGCCACCCAGCTCACAAAAACATGACTCTAGTCTAGGTGGCATACAACAACAATTTAAAAAATAATCCGAATTAAAATAAAACATAATAGTCAAACACACAGTTGGGGTACAGCCACATCTTGGTTCTCTAAATATCTTAAGTCCCACATCCAAAGTTTCAGCTTAGCCTTCAAGGCTTTCCTGAAGACTGACAGGGTTGTGCTGAGCCAGATTTCAAGAGGGAGGTTATTCCACAGAGCAGGTGTCACCATGGAGTGTCTCAGTGGCTTTTGCTCAGAACAGAATAGCTGTATTGACAACAGACTTTAAAAAATCCATTGCTGCCAGTATAGCAGCTTAGATGTTACAAAAGGAATCCCATAAATACACACACTTTTTATTTAGGGGCATAATTTTGATTATTGTGGCTGACTTTCCAAACGTAGTGCAATCAGCAGTAACCAATGAATTATCCCATTACATTTCAACAAGGCTTGTTCTGTTTCTGACCAAAATGATAACAGCTGCTACTACAATTACCTGTAGTCATTGGTTTCTCCTTGTTCCAATCACCGGCTTTTGTTGATGTGATGTTCTTGCATTGGTAAAAACATATGTTGAATTCTGAAAGGAGTAAAATCACACTGGAAGAGTTTACAGTCATACAATTTATATATTGCCAAAGGCAACAATAGTAAATAGGTACCTAGACTGCTTCTGATTTCATGTTATTGATCTTGGAAAATGTATTTTCTTTGCATTTAAAGAGCAATAGTTATTTCATATGTATTTATAGTTCTATATCTAACAAATATATGAGTTTTATAGGAAAGCATTTCAATTACTGGAGTATTGTTTAGAATAAAGAGGGATTGTAATATCCCACGAAAAGGGAAAATGTTTCTTTGTTTTCATTCCTGTTATTTTTTTTCTATAATAATAGCCATCTTTCTTTTATGAGCACTTTTTTCTGCTATTTTAATTAATATTAAAGATTAATATTAATATTATTATTATTAATAATAATAATAATAATAATAATAATAATAATAATAATATGACAGAGTTGAAAGCATTGAATCACTCATTCACTCAATAGAAGAACGCTTAGCAACACATTTTGAAACAACTATACAAGAAGCCTAATCTCTCTTAAAAAAAAAATACAGCACAGATAAGTGGTTACCTATCAGTTCAAAATCAAATCCCAATTCAAAAACCACTACCACAACTCCTACCTCAACTACAATCACAGCTACAACCAAAAATAATCACCAAACCACAACCACAAACAATTACTATCCCATCAAATAATTCCCCTTACTCATCAGAGACATCATGGAACATGATCAGAAATGTCCAAATGCCATCTTATTTGATCTTGAAGACACCAATGCATCAGATGACATCACCAAAGTTCGCAATATCATAAGCAGCTCAAATACAACAAACATCTCTCCTGAAGATATCATTGAAATAACCAGAGATGACCCTGAGTTCAAATACAATGACAGCTCTGTGGTCCCAAGATTTTGTAGAGTTGTTTGCAAAAATGAGTCCAGCAAACGTATATTCATTCATACAATAAACGCCATTGCAATAAATTTTCTTCAATAAATAATAATTATGCATAGGAATTACATATTTCCATTTATTCTCTTGCTTCTCTTCCACTTTGGTAGATATTTAGTGCTGAAGGTTTTTCATTTCATTTCATGTCATTAATTTAGAAATGGTGATCCTTATATTCAGTATTTACTAATAACAAAGCATATTAATGAGATAGTTTTCACAAACCTTACAATTAATATCACTTTTTAGCTTCTTTATCCCTTTTTTGTTATCAGGTGTATATTTTTTACGGATTTCAAAGAGTAATATTTCACTTTCATTCTTTCTGTATGGAACCTTGCGTCCTAGCCTATGAAACTTGATTAACTTGTACATTGTTATTTAGTGCCATGGTTTCTGAATACATTTTCTGTTGCTTCTTTTCTTTCTTACTTTTCATTTGACAGATGTAAGACAAAAGTCTACGCTGATGAGCTACCCACCACAAGTGTGGTCATAGTGTTTCATAATGAAGCTTGGAGTACTTTGCTTCGTACTATTTACAGTGTTATCAATCGGTCTCCACACTACCTACTTTCTGAGATCATCTTGGTAGATGATGCCAGTGAAAGAGGTAAGAATGTCCAAAAATAAAACTCATTAACATTTGAACAGTATTGTGGACAAGGGATAGCGTTTCTTTCTTTGTATTCAATTTTTAGTACTACTTAGCAAATATTGTAACAGCACTATGTGGAATTTCTCTGAAGAGAATGGTGAGAGCGGTGTGGAGGAAAACACAATTTAGAGTCCATTTTACCATTGTAGACAAATGTTTATAAAAAGCAAAGAGAATGTGTATTGATGGAGCAGGCTGGGTTTTTCATAAATTTGGATCTCAAGGGAGAAATTATATGGGTTTTCCTGAGAATAAGTCACAAAACAACAGGAGTCATGGTGGCGCAGTGGCTAGAATGCACTATTGCAGAAAAAAACTCTCCACAGCCAGGAGTTTGGTCCTGACTGGCTCAAGATTGACTCAGCCTTCCATCCTTCTGAGGTCACTAAAATGAGGAGCGGATTGATGGGTGCAATATGCTAAAACACTTTTTATCTTGTTCAGCTGGAGAATTTGGTCAGAATGTAGAGATGTCTTTGGCCTGTTCAACCTTCCCAGTCCACCAAATTTACTGTCCTAGCTGGAGAACATTGGAATGGAAATACAAGACATCTAGTGGATTTTAGATTAATTTTATTTGATGTGTCTGCTGAGGGCACTAATAGATCACTTGTTGATAATTTATTCATGTGAAAGTGGGATTGCCTTTGCTTTGAAAGAAGCTGTGATGAATTAAATATTATAAAATCTTTCTTAAGACCTGATGTCAAGAATGCCCTTTTTCAAAATTTCAGAGCATGTAGTGGCAGCCTAGCCATGGCTTGCTTAATCATGGAGTGTTGATTAAGCCATAATTGGCAGGGTTAATAGCAGAAGTAAAGTACTCTGAAGCTGCTCTTCCAAGATGAGAAAATGTGAGCACAATGCATACGTCGGCTCATTCTCTTCATAACAATAAAAAAAGTTCCCTGCCTGACAGAGAAACTGTTTTTTATCATGGCATCTGAATGCAGCTAACTGATTATTATCTCAGGAAGAACAGTGGGTGCTTCTTTCCAGTCTTTCAGCCTGTGGCATTCTAACAGCATGAAAATGTCTTCAGTCAGATTCTGATTTTCAAAATGGAACTGAGATACTATTCTCTGCTACTGAATAAGAGGCAGAAGCTGGATTCACACATTATATTAAGCAAGGACTATGAAAAATGTGGACCTGATTCCACATGTAGTCCATTAAAATCCTGTCACCAGAGCCACAAAAAGTGACAGAGGGCAATCATTTTAGTAGGGAATGTTCTGAGGGTAAAAACAAAATGGATGCCTTCAATCTTGCAAAGACTTAAGGAATCCATTTTACTGCTTCTGTGATCTTCCCAAAAATGTGTTTTTGGCCCTATCCAAAGGCTGCTTGCTGTATCCCTCAAACCAATAGAAATTGTCCAGGCTTAAAATCATTTTGAGGAATTGCTCCTTAATTTCAGAATTCCCTTCCCAGAAAGTCTGTTCCTCCATATGGAATTGGATCCTTTTGGTGCACATTGAAAAAGATTATTAAGAAAATATTTGAAAGTATGATGATGACATTGCTGATACTTTTTTATCTCTTAAGGTTGGGCTGCTTTTTATTTTGTGCTTAATAACATGTTTATCTGACTTTTAAAACAAGAGGAGTATTTTATAGCATAACCCTGTACCACTTTATTCAGCAATCTCATTAAGTTCAATGAAGCTTGTTCCCTGAAATATGGTTTAGGATTGTGGTGGGTTTTTTTAAATAGTATACAAATAGTGTAGCAGTCGGAACCTTTTAATTCATTTTACAGTAAACTGTTTATTTCATTTCCCCTGCTTTATCATTTCATCATATCCTAGAAGGATATTTTCTTTCTAAATTGCTAGAGAAATTAGAATCAGTCTGAGTAGTAGTGACTGCTGTTTCAAGTGGGTTGCAAAATATACTCTAGAGGTCTTATGATTGATCCTAATCCAGAAATAGAATGCCTTCCCTCTGTGCCACCATCTGAAGTGAGTACATTCTGTAGGCAATGAAATGATCTTCCATACTTTGTGGACCCACATTGAGTGCCTACCCATGAACCACATGAGAATGAGAAGGTGTTGGGATTTGTGGCTGCAAGATATCTTTTAAAATGCACATACACAGTTAATACAGCAACACAATTGGTATTTTATTTGTCTGAATGGTGCTTTATTTTCATGCAATAATATATAGATTACTGTATTCTTAAGATCTTGTAAAATAAAGAATGTTGTGTTTAGCTCAGTGGTCTTTGGTTCCCTATTTTTCCCTTTTTCCTATTCTTCTTTCCCTTTTTGTATTTTATAAAGCAACAAAATCTCTCTCCTTTTGTTGTTGTTTTTCTTTGTATTCAGAAACGTTTGACCTTTTTGATTATTTTTTATGGAAAGGAGAAAGCAGCCAGCTCGTAGATTCTATTCTATTCTATTCTATTCTATTCTATTCTATTCTATTCTAT